CCCCCCCCCCCCCCCCCCCCTCTCTTGTTTACACCCAAGGTAAACATTAAGGGCCAAATTAACTACTTGGAGATGTCTATTTTTCTCTCAATAACCCCATTTTGTTGAGCTTTGCTCATACAAGAGGTTAGTTGTCTAAAAAGGCTTAATCGGGTACCGAGGTGTTTCTTCAAAAAAAACCAATCCAATAATCCAAATAATATAAAATTAAAAAATTATGCTCGTAAAATGTATTCCTGAACAATCTTCCTTTAAGATTAAGGAGTTTTCTGCTTCTTTGATGGGAAATATTTAGCAATGCAGTTGAATGTTACGAAAGTTCATAACAGAAATGAGAAACAAGACAAGTTAGCACATGTAAGTGAAAGAGAGAGATTTTTTGATTGGTGATTGTGCCTTCCCAGCAACTCTAGTCAAAGAGCCATTGACAATCTTCACTTTTTGATGACATGAGCATGGAGTCTAAGTGGGAAACAAATTGGGCAAACCAATCATATGATAGCGTTTCCAAAGTGAATTATCCGATTAGAGATTTTTAAGAATGGTACAAGGAGCATTTCATGTGTTGCCTGCTTGGGCTAAGTTTGAAAGGGAAGCGGCATTTACAGAGAATCTAATTTGATTTGTAAACCAATACAGTTCTATTTTTCGTCTGTAAAAGAGGAGATTTGTGAGTCATTGAAGAGCTAGACCTTTTTTTTTAAATTTTTGGTTGATCAGCTGCCACTTGAAATAATATCTACATTATTTGAAGCCTTAATTCTTTGCTCCAGTTCTGCTAAGCCTCACAGAAATTGCTTTTGACACTCTTAGTAATGAACAAATAAATACTCTCTAATCCCCAGGGAGAAATAGGGTGAATCGGGGAAAAAAAAACTTTCATGGTTCTGATGCCATGTGAACAACCACGTGTAAAAGCTCAAGCCCTCGAAAAGGGTCAAATATATTTGTTTAAATTCTGTCATGAACGGTTACAGGTGTCTGCTTTTATTTCAAATATCAGTTCTTCCTTAGACTTGGGCGCTCTTAGCCAAGCCTAAACATCTAGCTTGTGTTCTCAGATGTATATTTCACATTTTCAATGTCTTAAACTCTGTTGTTAAATGTAGACTTTACTTGTTTGGAATCATTGTAACTTGACCTTGATGGATGGAATTGCTTTGAACCTAGCACCTTCTAAGAAAATTTGGTTCTTGAGTAAATAAACATTAATAACATGTTACAAGTGTGTGAGATTTCCAATGAGTAAATTTCTTTCCGTTTGGCTGATAATGCATGCGCACGCTTGTGCAAATTAACATAAATTCCATGTAATGTTCCTAATTGTTTCTTGATGGCGTGTCAATGACAGGTTCCTTTTTAGTCCGTATAAAGGCATGACAAGGTTCTGAGAAAGAAAAAGGAGGATTGAGCTTCACGTTTTCATTCATCTTATACATCAGATATGTTTCTTGCTCTCTTGAAAATGGAGTTAAAAACTGCCCATCGTATAGAATAAATTTAATTAAGGAATGAGCTAATATTGTGTTGGCCTGTATTTTGCAAATGTAATATTCGATAAGACACGAGTGCTTGGGAATCTTTTATATTTTACATGCCTTCTTTATGTGTAAAAGATTAAAAATCAGTTTTTCTTCTTACCAAAGATAAAACATGTTGCTACAGTTATATGGTAGTTTTCTATTTCTGAATTTGGGATCGAAGGGAAATTATTGTTGATACTATTGTTTTTGAAAGTCGAAGGGGGGTAGTATGTCTACTAGATTGATCGCTATAATTTGAGCATTTGCCCTTCGATACATTTTACACGATTTTGGGTGTGTGAAGATTATTCATATGCAAAAGATAACTTACATTAGTAGTCTACAGTTGGTAGTGGTTGAGACAATTCACAATGGAATTGTAATATGTCGACCTCCACGGAGAGATCAATTTATCTTGATTTGATCAGCCTTCTCTAATTTAGAGTCAAATCCAATTTAATTTTCTTGTTGGTAAACTACCAGTATCCAACTTCATAACCATCCTATATATTTTAGAGAAAATAGCAGTGGAGGTCCCTAAACTTTGACACGTGTTGTCATTTCATCCCCATCCTTCAAAATGTAACATTGAAGTTCTCAATCTCTCATTTAAGTAGCACTTCGATTCTTAGTGGACAATTTGATTTATTATAAAAATCAATTTTACCTTAAATTTCAAATAAATAAATAAAATAATTCAAAAACAAGAATGAAAAATAGAAAGAAAAAAGAAAATCGTATTTCTTGATTGCTATTTCCATATGACTTCTTTTTTCTGTTTTTCATTCTTCTTTTTAATTTAATTCTTGTTTATTTAAAGAGAAGGTTTCACCGTCTTTTTAATAAAGTTTTAGCTTGTTTATTAAAGACGGGAGTAAAATCGTCTATAGGTGCTACGTTTTGAAGATTGAGGACAAATGTGCAACACCCGTCAAAGTTTAGATACCTTCGCAACTATTTTTCCTATATTTTCTATAATTCAGGGGACAAAGAGAGTTAATAATTAGTTGTCATTATTTTGGTAGGTAGGTCAAGTTCTCAATGTCTTTGTGTTATTGTGGGTGTGGCACTCAACCCACCCTCCAATCTATCCTTTTTTTTTTTTTTTTTTTTTTTTTGGGGGTATAATAAAATTAAAGTCGCAATTTTATTCTACTTATTTTTGAACTTTTCTTGCTGATTTGATATATTTAAGAATTGCCATCGAATCAAATAATATTTTCATTCAATGGAAGAATCTCACTATAAATTACACATGGTGGTTTTAAATACACCGACATATATAAAAACAAACATATTAAAAGAATATAAATTAATGAAAAAAAATTAAAAATTTTGCTTATATGCTTCTTGTAACACGTGAAATGTAATAAAAAAAAAATTCCATTTAATTTTTTCTTTTCCTATACGAAAATATTATTTGTAATAAATGTCAAAGTCCATTACAATTTCTTCAAATTGCGAATTTCCAGCAGTTAATGTTTGTTAAACTTTAGGTTGACCAATGTATAGAGAAAATTGCTGCAGTAGTCCCTCTCCTATAGAGGTTGGTGCAACATAATATCCAACCTAGGGGCTCTTAACAAACTTGTCATTAACGTATTAGAATCGGTGCTAGCATAGACGGAAATTGTTAAATTTTCTATTAAGTTGACATTTCAAGTCACCGGTGTCACTATTTTAAGGACAAAATGGCTTAACGTAGTAAGAAAATTATAAAAAAAGAAATAAGAAGAAAGAAAACGTGAAAAAGAAATAGTTTGAAAAGGAAAGGAGAAATTGAAATAAAAGGGAAAAAAATAAAAATGCAAAGACCTTCATCTTCTCCGAACTCCCACCTCCACTTAGGGATGGCAACAAGTCGACCATTTCCGTCACCCGACCAATTGTAGATTTTCGGAAAGCAGAGATAGGAACAAGGATGAGGGTAGACAAGATTTAAAATAATCTTGTTTACCTCTCTCATTTATTTATATTTTAATATTATCCATTTATTATTTGAAAAAAGATTTAAACATAAAACGTAAAAATAAAATTTAAACAAGATTCGAGGCGCCACGATTCCCAGACAAGATGGGTATTTCACCATCTCCACCAAGCTTGGGTTTAGATTTTCATAAAGGTACTTCAGATATTAGCTTATCTAGGTTGGGGATGATGTTACCCACAACCTCCATAAGTTAGGGACTAATATAGCAATTTCCTCTATATACATATGTCAGATAAAGCTTAGGCATGACTGAAAAGAGAGAGGAGACACCAGAGACATATTACTGATAAGATTCTTTTTCCTCAGAGAATGGTTTTGTAATTATATTGTTCCAAAAACAGCATTTCCAGTCAGTCAGTTTCTAACCCTACATATATTCTTACCTTGAATTTGGCATATTAATTTACATTTATATTTTTTTATTTTCTATATATATTATTATTATTATTATTATTATTTTGAGATAATATCACAAAATCCCCTTAAATTTAGCCATTGTTTGACGATCATTATTTTTTAAATACTCATTTTTAACCGTCCATTCATATAATAAAATATTTTACACGTAAACTCAAAAATTTTATCTACTTTTTAACCACATTACCTTGAAAATTACTATTCAAACACATGATTTTTCTCATTTAATAGTTGTCAAGTAGGGGCTTAAGTAAAATACATAGACACTAGCTCGCATTTATAACTTACAACATCTCTTGTTCGAAATAATTAATTCACCGAATACAATTAAAAAGTTCCAATACCCGTTTTAACCCGTAATCGATCCCTTGAGTTAAACTAATTTTTAATATCAAAGGATGTTTTATTAAAGATACTATAACATTTTCTTAACGACACAAATTACTAAAAGAAAAGTCGTCTAGGGGAATATGTTATTGAAAATTTGAAATAAAGAAAGTTATGGTAATTTTTATTCATGAGGGGTGTTTCCATATTTATCATAAACTTGAGGGGTGTGTATGATATTATCTCTTGGTCTTTTTGTAAGTATAAATATGCAACTCTTTGTTGTACAGGTAGTATGTCTTACCTTTTTTTATTCTGTTCCATTTTTATTTATTTTTCAATAATATTTCTTCTTGGATTTGGAATCATGGGTATGTGCACCAAAATTAATCTGAAATAATCAATGCCCGCATCAAATTGAACGTTTGTAAGTAGATTTTAAAGCATTTTCTAAGCGATTAATCGAGGTATGCGACTTTCCCTTGTTACCTCTTGTGCTTTTTACTATGTGTTGATTTTCTAAGCATGTTTCTATTGTTTGTAGAAGTGGGGCAAATCAGTTTCATTTTGTGAATATGAAGGAATTTCCATCTTGTTTTGGGGAGAATGGGGTTCTAGTTGCTGATTTTTCTTCTTCAAATGCTAATAGTAACAGAGCTGCCCAGAATTTGGTGACTAGTGTTTATCAATGTAGATTGCTTGGAAAATCTTGCTGGATTTCTGTAACTTGGAGTAAAAATTTAATGGGTCAGGGGCTTAGTGTTGGGGTTGATGATAGCACCAATCAATGCCTCTGTAAGACAGATATTAAACCTGGGTTGTTTTCTAAGAAGAAAGGGTCAAAGAAATTAGAAGCAAACTTATTTAAAATTGATATATATTGGGATCTCTCTTCGGCTAAATTTGGATCCGGGCCGGAGCCATTAAAGGGATTTTATGTGGGGCTAGTATTTGAGAAGCAAATGATTCTGCTTCTTGGAGACATGAGGAAGGAAGCTTTGAAGAAAACAGGTAGCGTCCCTGCCCCATTACCATTTAGTGCTGTTCTTATATCAAAGAGAGAACAAATTTTTGGGAAGACGGTATTCAGCACTCGGGCTCAGTTTTGTAACATAGGCAAAATACATGACCTTGTGATTGAATGTGATACCAATGGCGTTTCTGATCCGTGCCTTGTGATCCGTGTTGATTCTAAGCTGATGATGCAAGTGAAGCGCCTCCTGTGGAAGTTTCGAGGAAACGACACCATCTTGGTGGATGGCCTTGCTGTACAAGTATTTTGGGATGTGCATAATTGGCTCTTTGCAATGTCTCCTGGAAATGCAGTGTTCATGTTCAACTCCAACTTTCCATCTGACAAGTCATGGACAAGCCAACCTCTCTACGATCCCCACACACTGCGTTGGTCGTGGTCTCAAAGATTCCAAGATTTCCATTCACAAAGTCTTGGTTTCTCATTAATTTTGCATGCTTGCAAGAATGAATGAGGAATTAGAAATTTATTGATTGAATGCTAACAGATACTTCTAATGAGCTGTGATTTTTATTGATCGTGCTATTGGATTTTACTTGAGTATAGATTGTCCATTTGTTTATTTATTATATTAGAAGTTCAAAAATTATGGAATTGAAAATTTCTTCTTCGTCTTGCTTGTATATTTTTCAGGTCAATGTTCTATTCATTTGGTTACCTGTGGAAGTTTCCATGTTGAGATTAGTTTTCTTTATGATTATGCTATTTCTCTTTTGGCTTTTTAGTTGGGATTTGCTGTGTTTACAAGATGAAGTATTGACAAGTCATTTTTTCTAGCTTCTTTCAATACCTTCTCTTTCCCATTTTGGATATGACTATAGGTAAGTTTCTTCTTCTAACTTAAGCCTAATATTATCTTCCCCCTTGACTTTTTTTGTATTTGTAAACTAACTACGGAAGGGGTTTGGTAACTTGACATTACAGGATATTATCTCACGGTGGAGAAAACAAAATCAGTAGAATATACTGTATCATCAAAACTGAGGCTGGTCGGCAGCAAGATTCTTTTCCCCACTCTGTTGCATGAATATGCGCGATTATCACAGCAATCAATTTGACAATGGATGCAACCTGTGTATTTTGGTATGAATTCGAGTGTCTTTTAACTGTCAAAATTGTAAATGATTCAGATAGATGGTACTCCCCCTGTTGCCACTCTTTTAAGTTTTATTATCTGAATGTTTTGGGCTATCTTGTCATTTGTGTAGACTTGTGAATGAGACTAGTGTTCAGAAAAATAACAAAATAGGCAGATTGGAGGAATAGATCTTATGGATTAAGGTTTGAAGCAAAATGTTCCAGTTATTCGTTGATGATTATCTTATACGAAATTATTCTAGACGTAAAATCCTAAAGTTTTGTCTCAAAAATTTTGGTCTCTCGCTACTTTTTCCAAGACCCGCTAGCAAGAGGACATATCTGTAGGTATATGAACATTCTTTCCTCCTCCCATCTTGAAGCCGTGAATCGATAGTTACACGGGAACAATACATACTTCCTTTTTTTAAAGTTCACATTTCATAAATAACAAACTTCTTAAAATATATCAAACATCAGGTGCTAAATAAATTTATTAAATATTAAATTATAATATATTAAACATTAAATTATAATATAATATATATTAATTATTTACACCACCCCATGACACCTCACCCACCCCATCTCCTCACTACAACACCTCTCTCCATCTCCGGCACCGGTCCGGGCACTGCTCCGGCGACCGTTCCGTCGATTTCAAAATTTTCAGAAAATTGAAAATCACACCCCCCAACCCATGGATTGGTCACAAACGGTCACAACCGGTCACAACGAGTCACAATTAACTGGTCACAATCAGTCACAAACGGTCACAACCGGGTCACAAACGGTCACAAACGATCACAACCAACACATATTTGGTCGAAATCTCATCCCTGCCACCAAATTCAAATAAATTTTCGTTGAGGCTCACATCAAGCAAAGGCAGGAGTTCATCGAGAGAATCCAAGAGGCTGAAGAAGCCTGTTCCCAACAACCACAACCTCCACATCCGGCACACCATCACTGCTTCTACCTCCACATCCCACAACTGTAACTACTACTGAACTCAAACAATTGGGCACTCCAGAACTATTGCCGACGCCGATTAATGGATTTGCACTCCCAGAAATTCAAATCGCCGACACCACTGTAATGGTTAGGTCGTTTCCAACCAAAACCAACAAAATCTAGACCCCAATTTAGCACCAATTCAACACAAAACTTAATCTTTGGAAGAATCAATTTTCCGGCAGAATTCCGGCAGAGATCCTGTCCTGTAGTAAGCTACAATTACTAGATCTCGGAGACAATGGTTTCTCAGGTGATATACCTAAAGCATTTAGGCAACTTCCATCACTTGAAATTTGGAGAAAGTGGTTAACTGGCCGGATTTGGAGAAAACTATAAATCTGAAATTTCAAAATTTTTTTTTGCAGGTTGTCTCTAAATCAAGCGAGATTTTGGATGTAGAAATGGCACAAAAAAAAGAATAATAGTGAATTCCGTTCCCAGAGGAGGCCGGTGGTTGCTTAATTGGAACGTGAAGAAGAAGAGTAGAAGGCTTCTAACAAAAAAATCAGAACGGCCACCTTCACCGCAACCACCATTTTCAGCCACTATCGGTCCATCATCGCCGCTCCGTTTACGACAGCCGCCACCTTCCCCATCGTCTACCGCCACCATCACAGTCGCGACCTCCACTCACCACCACCACAAATAACATCAACACCACACCACACCACACAACACACCCGCCGCTCAGATCTTACTCTAGATAACGACGTCGACGCCGACGCCGACGTCGTCGACGCTACAGAGAGCGGAGAGAGATGTAGAGAGAGGAGGGAGGGTGGAAAATAATTGAGTTTGGGGAATAGTGGTGGGTCTTGGAGGGAGGCGACAGAGAAGAAGGAAGAGAGAGAGAGAGAGAGAGATGAGGTGAAGATGAGAGAGACGGTAGATGGAATTAGGATTTTAATATTATAGTGTTAAAAAAAAATTAAATTAACACCTGATTTTTGTATAAAAAACTTTTCAACATGAATTTTGAAATGTATAGTTCATATGTAGGGATTGAGCTAATTTTCCCTAGTTACACCCCATGTGTGATAGCCTTGCCATCTCCTTTTTGTATTACCTGGAGGCTATTGCCATACATTTCAGCTTCTGGATTTGTCTCTAGCCCAAGACTTTTTCTCTTAGGCCTTTTCAAAGCGTTGGATATCTCATAACTAGTTTAGGCCTCTTTCAATTAGGAACCCATGACACTACATACACTAAATGTTGCTATGCTTATCTAAAAAGATCACAAGAGTTTAGATGTTTAGAGTTCCTCTAAACATGTGAAGCTCCTCTTTGACCAGTCCGATGTCGGAAGTATTAGGGCCCATTTGACGTGGGTTTTGAAAATGGATCATGCTATGTGTACATAATGATTTACACATAGCCTTACACCCTCCTCACATGGAGGGGAGCCCACACACAATAAAATATTCGTGGGCCCCTCTCAATGAGAGAGGGGTGTGAATCATTATGTACACCACAAGGTGTACAAGTAGATTAATCCTTTGAAAATTCAAAAGAGATTAAGAATTCACTTTTAAGTGTGTTGATTTTTGTAAGTGCTTTGTTTGGTTTGAAAGGCTTTTAGAGGAAACTGGTCAAATGAGACTTTAACATAAATTTCTTCTTGTTCGATTTTATCTAGCAAGTGGATGAACAAGAATTGCAATCTATCTTCCTTCGGTGAACAAGTATATGATTCATTTGGCCAACCCACTGCATTTTTAAAAGACCGAAAAAGGTAGTTTTCTAACAAAATATTCGTGCGAAAAGACAAAAAATCCCACTTGTAGAAAAATTTCAGCAAAAAGTACATAAAATGCAATTTATAGATAATATTTCGAACAGAAAAAATGGTTTTTTAGAGTATAAGGTGGTCGTGAATCAATATAAACAACTGTTTTCTACGGCCCAGAAGGACGAAATTTCACATTTATCCTGCTTTTACCTGAATATTGATTGAGGATTAGAGTTCAATACAATCGACATATTTTTAAATTTCATCTTCAAAACAAGTACAATTATTATTATCCAAAGAGATGTAGCGGTGTCATAAACCTCGAAATTTATTCATGACAGAGATCGCCTCAAAGGAATTACCTGTGATGTTAAGTATAAATGGTTGAAGTCTTACTCATACTGTTTTCAATAACAAAATAGTAAGAAAACAAATGACTTGTAATTCCGTAATCAATGCATATGTTTAAAACTAAGCCAAAAGCATACTTTTGAATTACGTATGTTGTCCGAATAAGTTGTTTATCTTTTTGTATTTTGTCATGTTTTCTAGCAAATGAATGCATGAATTTGGCAATATGAAGTCTTTCAGCATCAAGAGAACGCTCCACCCCATTTGCCATCGAGAGAATGTCGCCGGCATAAAACGTGCAAGCATGAGCTTTCTGTTATCCATCAAAAACATGTCAATTTCTTTATTTAGGGGTTGTTTGACAAAACTTTCAATAGAAGTTTGACAAAAAATTTAGTAGATTCTAATAAAAGTTGATGAAATATGTGGTTGAAAAATTGCTAAAAAGTTGAAGTCAAAGTAAATAATTAATTTTAACCACACATTTTATGGGACTTGCAACGTTTATCGACTTTTTAAACTATACCAAACAAGCACTTAGGAAGGAAGGAAAGAATCGTAATACCATTTATCTTTTCCATTGAAATCATAAAACCCGTTGTATGAATCTTTCAAAATTGACTACGCCTCACCAAAAGCTTCTAAATAAGTATAGTTTGGAGGACATAATTGAATACCACAAATTCTGAATCTGTACTTGCTTTTTTCAGAAGTCCTAATAAGCTCTTGTAGTTTGTCAAATGCGCTCTGAGTTTTTAAGAAGGGAGATGAACTCCCACAAAGGTACCAAAATAAATCATTCAAGTGGTTACATGGTTTTTTTGATAGAGTTCGCTTATCATTGGAATGTCTAATTATAACCAATACTATGAACCAAACATACTCTTAAGGTGCACGTGGCACACTCGATAATAATATGGTACATTGAAGGAGTATCAACAAACTTACTTTTAAGTATTTCTTTGTGGTTGATCAACTTGATTTTGTTACAACTTAGTCACCGAAGTTACGATCTTTTTCAGTCTCATCATCACATTATCTTTGGTAGCTGAATCAATGGGAAATCCTATGTTGATCACGGCAAAGTCGACATATTAAAATTTGGGAACATTACATATATAAGGGGTTGCAAAATGCAATTTCAAAAATGAGATTTTAATTAAATAATTAATTAAATATATTTTATTAATTAAATATTTTAAGGTCATAGATACGTACAGTCACAATTATAGATGCAACGGTCACAAACCACAAATTAAAACTTCTTCTCAATCACAATTTATTACATTAATGGGTCACGTATTATTTCTCGATCATTAATCAAGAATTTTATAGATCACAATTTCTTTATCGGTCACAAATTATTCAAATTAATTTGACCCTTTGACCCTTTCTTTCACAGTGGGTCCCATGAATTTGAATAAAACGGTAAAAAAATCACTACAAATCTGGAAAGAAGCAAAAACAGACTTGCACTTAATTTGATAAACGCCACAAGAACTTAATTCTTGATAAGATCAGAATTAGTTCGATGAAGAATAATTAAGAAGAAATCAATATGCCTTTCAATTAATCTCTCTATAAAATGTATGTTTTTACAATGAATGAAATGAGTCTTATTTATAAGAAACTCATAAAACCTACTTAAAAACGGAATTAAGTCTTAAAAGATATAAAAAAATATACTATACAAGAGTTTTAACTAAAATAGAAGATTATGCGAAATTTGAAAAATTCGCTGTCGGATTTATACTATACGGCCGCATAGTATAAATCTATGTTGTCGTATAGATCAATTGAAACCCTCCATTGGAGTTTTGGTAAAGGGGCATAAGCATGCCCTGAACAACTATGCAGTCGCATAGTTGTTCCTTTCATCATCTCCGTCTATTGCTTGAATCAAGTTACTCCACTTAGTTTCAACTCTTATGTTCAATATGTAACTTGTCTCTTTGCTTGTCTGATCAATTTTTCGTTCACCGTGACTTGATCAAATAGTCTCGTTGCTTATTTGACCTGCTTTGCTCACGACCTAATCATGCTCATTCCTTAACGATCAATGTATCCTTACCTGGACTTGCACTCGTATCATGGATCACATCTCAAACCTTAAACTTAATTCTTGTAGTTGGAGTTTAAAAAATTTGCCTCCATGAAATTTCCATTTAAAATTTTTCCTCTGTTTACAACATATAGGTAGATGCCCTAATTTTCGATGTGGAAACCACATCCCACCCTACTTTGGGAGATCTCAATTCTAAAATTAGGTGGGATCTTTTTTCTTTCAAAAATCAGATATTTTATTTTAATTAATATTTTTATAAAATAAATATTTTTTACTAAATATATATACTCTAAACCCTAATTAATTCATACCTCCCTCTACCCCACCTCATTTCCTCTAAATGATTCTCTCTCTACCGTCCTTCTCTCTCTCCTTCTTTACCCACCGACAGCTACGACGAGGAAGTTGTCACGGCGATCAAGCTGCTCCGATCGAAACTACGCCACAAGCGCCCGTCATCTCTGGCGCTGCAAATCGAGTAATAGAAGGGGTCGTGATGCTGGTTCACGGCGGAGCGAATCAATTTTTTTTCTTAATTTGATTTCTTCGCACAAATCTGTGGAGTTGTGTGTGATTTGTGATGGTCGATTTGGTGTGGTTCGCTAGTTGAATAGTGGGGCTGTGTACTGTGCAGTCGGGTGGTGATTTTTAATGTTCCGGCGAGGCACGCATTTGGACGAGTGGCACTGTGCGTGGTACGATGGAGGTGTGCAGTGCGGTGGCGGTGCTGCGGTGCGATGGTGGTGCTGTGTTTTGGTTGTGTGACCACTATTTGGTATATGTGACCAATTACTTGGTTACATGTGACCAAGTATTAACCCGTGACTCTAAAATTTGATAACCTGTAGGCAGTGTACTGTGCAGTCGGGTGGGGATTTTAATGTTCCGGCGAAACACACATTCCGACGAGTTGCACGATGTGTGGTATGATGGAGGTGTGCAGTGCGGTGGCGTTGCTGCAGTGCGATGGTGGTGTTGTGTTTTGGTTGTGTTGGGGTTTTTGGAGGTTCTTGTATTAGGCTCTGACGACAGGAGGATCATTCACTGGGATTGGGAAACTGGTCATGTTAAACTCTCTTTTCATTCAGGTCACCACAATAATGTATTACAAGCAAAGTTCATGCCTTACAATGAGGACCGAAGCATTGTTACCTACTCGTGGGTACTGTTGATGCAGTGCCTCTGGCGATGGAGGTGGGTGATGGCGGTGGATCTGGTGGTTGCATGGGGTGCTGTTGGTGTAGTGGTGGCGGTGGACGGCGATGGTGATGCTGTTAGAGACAGCGTTGAACTGGTGGTCACAACTGTTGACGGTGGTCATAGATTAGACTAGCTGTGACCGCATAATGGACTATTAGTGACCTTAAAATTTGACAATTTGTGACTAAAAATTTAATCTGTGACCTATAATTTTTTGATCCGTGACCAATAAAATAATTTGTAACCTATAAAACTATTGATTTGTGACCTCAAAATAATCTGTGACCCTAAAAAATTTTGATATGTAACCGATAAACAAATTATGACCTTTAAAATTTTTGATTTGTGACCTCGAAATAATTCGTGAAGTATAAAATTTTTGATTTGTGACCTTGAAATAATTTGTGACCTTAAAAATAATCCGTGACCAATTAATTGTGTATATGTGACCATTAATTGTATAATTATGATAGCATTATATTTAATTAATTAATTAATTAAATCATAATAAATTTTAATAAAAATTTGATTTTTTAAATTCTAAACTTGTTTTCATTTTGAAATAGGGGATACTTATCCTCTTACTTATGAATTTTTCCCATTTTCGATTGTCCATGTTGGTAGGCCCAAAAGCACATTCTTAGCCCAGTCCCCAAGTCCAAGAAAACCGGGCCAACTTTCAAGTCCAAACCATCATTAGAGATCACTCAACTTTCAATGAAATCTCAATTAGATCCTTAAAACTTTAATTTGTTTTAATTGAGTTACTAAACATTAATTTAATTATATCGAGTCACTAAATTTCAATTTTAAGTTTGCACCTACCGTCTCTCATATTAATAATAATTGCTTAATTGATAGTCATAGCGCATCATATTTTCCTTGTAATTATTGCGCGACATGTTGACTTACCACTATGGCATGTCATTAACGACCTTTTAATTTATAGACATTGTCACAAATTTTATTTTACCATTTTCGTTCACAAGGTGCCAAAATTGAATAAAAAAAAATCTTAGTAAATAACGGTTTCAATTAAAAAAAAACGAAGCCAATTAAAAAAATACGTTTGAGGGTCCACTTATTAGAAACACAAACCTAATCACCCAACATAATGGAATTTTACCGCCCTAATATATTATAAATGGTCGCTATAAATAACAATAAAAGATTAAAATATGCGTGAGAAGCATTTATAAACAATTTTGTCTAAATAAATGGAAAAGGATGATGAATAAGTTCATAATACATGCGTGTTCATTGAAATGTACAGATAAAAGTTAGTTTGAACATTTTTGAGAATTTATAAACGGCTTATAAGTAGTTGTCAAAAGTATGCTTGCTTATAAGCAGTTGCCAACTAGATTAATTGTAGATATAAACGTCCTTCCATATTTGTCTTCATTAACTTTCAAGTTCTATGGTAAAACAAGTCATTCAGAGCTCAATTTTTCATTCATCAAGTCAGCACATAAATTATCGTGTTTATCTTATTCTATCCAATAAACGTTAAATTATAATGCAAGTCAAGAAAAATAACAATGAAATGATTTACCAAAATAAGATAAATTCTTACTTGTGAAACAAGCAATTTTGGGAGTTGACAAAAAAAAAAGTGTATGATTGAAGATGGTATTGCTTGTGGTTTTAAAGCATACATATTTCAGACGCATGGCATATGCTTTTGTTTCAGAATCCATGTTGTATTGGTTAAGCCAACAACTTGTGGACTTTAATTAAATGGAATGAAAGGAAGAAATAATTTTAGGTGGCAATTCTACCTGAATTTTTAATTTATTTATTAATAGAAACTATTACTATGAAAAATCACAAAGAAAAAAAAAATAATAATAATACCCTTAGTCCCTAGTTATTGCAGCTTTAATAAAATTATTGTTGGATTAGAAATTTAGAATGCAGTTATTTTGTTATTTTTATTTTTATTTTTGGCCCCTGGTGAATGGTGTGGCCAAATTGAAATTAAGAAATCATTTATGTTGTAATCAATTAATTTTCTATTTGTTGTCACATTTTAATTGCATTTTATGTTCTCGATCTTTTCTTATTGTAGCACTTATGATCTTAACTTTTTGATGATAATTTTCGTTAAAGTATTTTGTTTGAGTGCTTTGAAATGAGTAGAAAAAAAAAATATTTTTTTCACTTTCATATTTATTGTTTTTTGGAAGTATGATGGAAAATAAGTCATTTTACGCTCTCGCAACATATATTTTGGACGGATCGGTTATCAAATAAGATAAGTTCTAATTAATAAAAAGTTAAGGATAAAATGCATTAAAAAATTAGGAATTTAAATGCTACAATGAGTAAAGATTGAGAACTTTAAGTACAATTAAAATGTATATGCAACTGATAAGAACTGTATTATGAATATTATTACCATAAATTTCTAAGCGTGGACATTTTTGTTCGGAATCATTTGAGTGGAATTGGATGGAACTACACCCTTTTAAGAACTAGTACTTAGAAACGAGGACAAAATGTGTTAGTCTTGTTCTTGGTTTTTGCTATAGCATCTCAATTAAATGAATTTATGTAAATTTTAAAAAAAGATAAAACACTTTAACACATGAATTAATAAATATAAAACTTAAAAAAAAATAATAATAACTTTATATATTTTCTAAAGCATACAAGAAAGGGTAATTATATTCACACCACAATTTTTATTTCTTGCACCATATTTTAATTGCGTTTAAGGTTCTTAATCTTTACTCATTATATAACACTTATGTTCTTAACGATTTTTCATGTTATTCTTATCCTCAAATTTTCTATTAGTTAATATATTTTGTATTTGATAACAATTTTATGTCCAAAAGTCTGTTGAAATGACATAAAATAACTTATTTTTCCATCATACTTAAAAAATAAATATATAAAAAGTGCAAAAAAATATTTTCCCCTCATTTTAAAGCTTGAAAACAAAATATTTTGATATAAATCATTATCAATGACAAGACGTTATAATTAATGGATAGTTGAAAATAAGTATTAAACGAAAAAAAAAAATTTAATAAAATAATTACTAAAATAAACAAAGATTGGAAAATTTAACTGTAATTATAATGTGGTGCGACAAATAAAAATTGTGGCGTCAATCTAACCAGCCTAAAAGAAATGGAGCAGACCATATTAGAACTAGTCGATTCTGTATGATTCAAGTTTATCACTGTACATGTTGATTCCTCTCGAGTGCCTTGAATAAAGGATTCCCTGCGTAGAGGTCTTCTACCCTCTTGAAGGCCACCGGAGTAGAGGTCTCTCCCTACTTTTAAGAACTAGTACTTAGAAACAAGGACAAAATGTGTTGGTCTTGTTCTTGGTTTTTGCTATAGCATCTCAATTAAATGAATTTATGTAAATTTTAAAAAAAGATAAAACACTTTAACACATGAATTAATAAATATAAAACTTAAAAAAAATAATAATAACTTTATATATTTTCTAAAGCATAAAAGAAAGGGTAATTATATTCACACCACAATTTTTATTTCTTGCACCACATTTTAATTGTGTTTAAGGTTCTTAATCTTTACTCATTATATAACACTTATGTTCTTAACGATTTTTCATGTTATTCTTATCCTGAAATTTTCTATTAGTTAATATATTTTGTATTTGATAACAATTTTATGTCCAAAAGTCCGTTGAAATGACATAAAATAACTTATTTTTCCATCATACTTAAAAAATAAATATATAAAAAGTGCAAAAAAATATTTTTCCCTCATTTTAAAGCTTGAAAACAAAATATTTTGATATAAATCATCATCAATGACAAGACGTTATAATTAATGGATAGTTGAAAATAAGTATTAAACGAAAAAAAAAAGTTAATAAAATAATTACTAAAATAAACAAAGATTGGAAAATTTAACTGTAATTATAATGTGGTGCGACAAATAAAAATTGTGGCGTCAATCTAACCAGCCTAAAAGAAATGGAGCAAACCATATTAGAACTAGTCGATTCTGTATGATTTAAGTTTATCACTGTACATGTTGATTCCTCTCGAGTGCCTTGAATAAAGGATTCCCTGCGTAGAGGTCTTCTACCCTCTTGAAAGCCACCGGAGTAGAGGTCTCTCCCTGGTTGATGCATGATTCTTTATTGTCTTTTCTTTTGCCTTCTCTCTATGGATCCGGATATTGAATAGATGTGTGAAAAACTGTCCCTCACAGAATAGGAAGAAGAAGTGCTAACACTCGAAGAAGAAGAGGTGTTGATCGCCCATCGGAGTGAAAAATGTTTATTATTCAAACTTCTGTCTAGTAAACATTTCAACAAAGAGACGTTTAAGAACTCTATGAAACGTGTATGGTGCCCAAATAAGACGCTGGACATTCGGGATATCTCCTCCAATTTATTCCTAGCAGAATTTGAAGACATTCGAGACAAGGAACGTGTCAAGCGCGAGGGACCGTGGGCGCTCGATAAGCAGTTGGTATTAACCAAAGAGGTTGATGGCCTTGAACAAATTGAAATATCTCCTTCTCCGAAGCATATTTTTGGGTAAGAATTCATGATTTCCCTGTCATGGTTCGCAACTGTAAGATGGGAGACGCTAGTGGAAGGCAGCTTGGTAAAGTTATTGACATTGATATCGATAAAAATAAGATAGCAAGAGGTGAATTCCTTCGGGTTCGGATAGGCCGGTTATTTCCAAGCCTCTACTACATGGTAAGAGAATTTGTGTGGGATCCTACAAGCCTTTTTGAGTCCGTTTTGCCTATGAACGTCTCCCAAATTTCTATTATCTATGTGGTATTCTTGGACATAGTCATAAGGAATGCTCCCAATGGAGATCTTCCATGGAGGCATACACAACTTTGATTTCTCCTACGGGCCTTGGCTACATACTGGAAATTTTGGAAATTATGGAGGCCCTATTCGTAACCAACAAATGAAGTCTCACCACCCTGATCAGCAGATGAATCATGCAGGCCTCAGTAATCAGAAAAACGGCGGGCAAGAGGACCGACAAACTCCAGTTCTGGTAACCAACAGTAGAATACCGAAAAATTAGGATCTATTACAGGAAATAAATATTGATGGAAATAATGGGGAGTTGATTACGGCGACATCTTTGGAACAACTGCTAATACATGATCAATTAGGAACCATAGTTTCCATGGAAGATAATCTTGATTGCAATGTTTTTATGGAAACAAATAATGAGAGCAATAACGTTCCTAAGATTCAACCAAAGGATATTTTTGGTCCTCAACAGCTGCCATTACAGGATCAATCAAAAATTTTGATTTCTATGGAATTTAATTTAGACAGCAATGCGTTTATAGAAAAATTTCTTGATAGCAACGAGTTTCCAAATATTCAATAAAGGGAAGATCCTATCTCCCAACAAATTGAGTTTATTTCACCCAAATCCAGTGGGACATTAATTACTAAAAAGGGCACCAACCAAACCCGAAGGTGGAAACGAGTCAAGAAAAATCAAACTCACAGCTCCAGCAAATCCACTTCCTTAGCACACCAAAAGAGGTCCCTGAATACTCACTCTTCAAGTGGGGAATCTGTTCGTAGGTCAATGTGTTTGAAGGGTACATGCGAGTCCCATGAATGGCTTCCCTGCTCCAATCCCCATAATCAGATGGAGGCTGAAATATAGCCCTGCCGATCAACATGAAAATCCTAAGCTGGAATGCACAAGGGCTTAGGAACCCCCGTGGTATTCAGACTCTTTTTGATCTTATCAGAAAGGAAGATCACGATGTTTTGTTCTTGCAAGAGACAAAACTAAATGCTATGAATATGGAATTATGTCGAGTTACGTTAAAATTCTATGGTTGGTTATATGTTGAGGCTGAAGGTCGTAGTGGATGAATATCACTCCTCTGGAAATCCGACATTCTGTTATCCATTCTAAGTTACTCCAAAAAACACATTGGCGCAAAAATTGATTTGCCACAACATAGCTGGTTCCTAACTGGTATCTATGGCCATCCTGAGATAGGTAACGTATGGAGGTTTAGAACTTATTACGTAAAATAAAGAGAGATTCTATAGATGCATGGCTTGTCTTTGGTGACTTCAATGAAATTTTATCCAATGATAAGAAATGGGGAGGTCGAGATAGACTTAGATAATAGCTTGAAAATTTCCAACAAATGTTCTTTGATTGTAAGCTCCGGGATCTCGAGTTTAAAGGTCCTAAATACACATGGTATAATGGAAGACATGACTGCAAATTTTTTTTGGAACAGCTTGACCGTTTCATCGTGAATGATTCTTAGTGTTGCCTCTTTACACACACATTCATCACCCACGGTTCGTTAACATATTGAGATCATCTTCCAATCTAGATACAACTGGACGATGCTATTCAATTACTAAAAGAGTCAAGCCTTTCCATTTTGAATCAATGTGGCTAGGTGAAACTGAGTGCACCAACATAGTGTTTAATCAGTGGTCTGAAAGCTGCCCTGAGAACCTGGAAAATATTGGGAGGAAAATCAGCTGCTGCAGTAAGCAACTTCAATCTTGGAACCAAGATTCATTCGGCACGGTGCACGTGAAACTTAAAGGGGCCAGAGCAAAGCTAGATCAAATCCAAAACTAGAATCTTGCAGCTATAAATACTAGTGATCTTCGATAAGCGGCTGAAGATGTGCAAACTTGGATGGACAGAGAGGAGATCATGTGGAAACAAAGATCTAGGGTAGCTTGGCTAGAAGAAGCAGATTAGAACACACGCTACTTCCATGCAAAGGCATCCCGAAGAAGGAGAAAAAATTCAATTACAAAATTGTTGGATGATCAAGGATGTTAGCAGGAGGGTGAAGCGTGCGACCATTTAATTATCAATTACTTTTCAAAACTATTTGCATCAAATGGCTCAAGGAACCAAGCTGATGTTCTAACCAACATGGAAAGTAAAGTCACCACTGATATGAATTATGAACTGACAAAACCTTTCATAGCAGCTGAAATTTCCCAAGCACTGATGGAAATGCACCCGAACAAAGCTCTAGGACCTGATGGTATGCCTCCAATTTTTTTCCAAAAGTTTTGGCCTCATATTAGCCCATCTATAACTAATGTTGTTTTAGATGCTTTGAATACTTGTGAATTCCACCAAGATGTAAATCAAACATTTATTACACTCATTCCTAAGATAAAAAACCCCTAAAGAGTCAAGGATTACATACCAATTAGCCTCTGTAATGTCCTTTATAAATTGGTTTCCAAGGTCGTGGCTAACATGTTAAAACAAGTTTTACCTATGGTGGTCTCAAAAACACAGTCAGTTTTCATCAAAGGCAGACTCATCTCAGATAATGTCCTTGTAGCCTACGAAGTGCTCCATTTCTTGAGAAGGAAGAAGAAGGTTAAGAAGGGTTATATGTCCCTTAAGCTTGATATGAGTAAAGCCTACGATAGAGTGGAGTGGTCTTTCCTTGAAGCTGTTATGCACAAGTTGGGTTTCCACGAAAATCTTATTAATCTGGTGATGAAATGTGTTACAACCGCATCCTTTTTGATTATCATCAATGGCTCACCTACTGGTCGCATTGTCCTTTCTAGGGGTTTAAGGCAAGGATATCCTATTTCTCCTTATTTATTCCTCTTATGTACCGAAGGATTGATCAGTCTGCTAAAGGAAGCTGAAAGGAAAAATCATGTGACTGGTATTCATGTTTGCCGTGGAGCTCCAAGATTGAATCACCTCCTCTTTGCGGATGACAACTTAATTTTTTGTGAAGCTAATGAATCAACTACGTCTTGACTATAGACTATCCTAAGAGCTTCTGAAGAGGCATCGGGGCAGTAACTAAATAGAGATAAAACCGCAATGGTATTCAGTGCAAACGTAAAGCAAGATGATCAATGAGCAATTATGGCCTTATGGAATGTCCTGCAAGTGCAACAATATGAAAAGTATCTTGGATTGCCACCTATGGTAGGTAGATCCAAAACACGAGCTTTCTTTGAAATAAAACACAAAGTATGGTTGAAATTGCAAGGTTGGAAAAGTAGTATGTTCTTCCAAGGCGGAAGAGAAGTTCTCCTCAAATAGTGGCTCTAGCAATACCTTCCTACGTTATGGGTTGCTTCAAACTCCCCTCCACACTTTACACTGAACTTGAAAGGATGTTGACTCAATTTTGGTGGGGCCAAAGGAAGGAGAAAAGAAAAATTCACTGGCTATCTTGGCAAAAAATGTGTAAATCAAAATCTATGGGAGGCATAGGTTTTAAGGAGCTGGAATTTTTTAATATGGCGATGCTTGGGAAACAAGCTTGGAGGCTGTTACAACACAAGGATATCTTGGTTTACAAAATCTATTCAGCCCGCTACTTCCCAACATAAATATCCTCAAAGATAAATGGATTCCAGGAATTACAGACTTGAGTAGGGAATTAGGGTCTGATATTCAACAGATTCATAGACCTCAACTTGACAGTCCAGTATCCTCACTGATTGATCCCAACTTGGGGTCATGGAACTTGGAAAAGCTTAGAACTTTATTCACTCCAATAATTATTGAGTCTATCCTGAAGTTACAACCTTATTGCTCAAATGAACAGGATGTGGGGTCATGGGAACATGAAAAATCTGGAATCTACTCCGTGAGCAGGGCTTATAGATTCTTCAAAAATTACCTTACTCCAGATAGTGGTAACTCCTCAAATATGGCTGAGAAAAAGAAGTTTTGGGATACGATGTGGTGGCTGAAAATCCCTCAAAAGATAAAAGTCTTCGCTTGGAGAGCCTGTCAAGATAGTCTACCTTCAAAACAAAACTTGATCAACCGAAATATTGATGTTGCTTCCCAGCGTTGTTTTTGTGGCTACCAAGTGGAGGATTTATGTCATGTTTTGCTTTACTGCCCATCTATCTATCAAAGCCTAGCTAGTCGATTCCCGATGCTACAAAACAAAAGTTATCCAGGAAGCTTCTTGTAAGCATCCACCGATATTTTGACAGCGCTATCAAAGGATGCTCTCATGGATTTTCTGTTTATTACTTGGGGATTTTGGTATCGGTGAAATTAAATGACCCATGATCAGATTACCATTCCACCACAACAAGTAATCTCAATAGCTTTAGCCAATAAACTTGCAACAGAACCAGCCCTTCCTCGAACGATTGCTCCTGGAGTGCTGCCCCGAAAGTATAGATGGACCGCACCACCTAAACCTGCCTTCAAGCTCAGTGTTGATGGTGCTCTGTTTTTCGATTTTAACAATTAAGGAATTGATATTATCTTGCAGGATCATAATGGTGAATTAATTAAGGCTGCTAGTGGCCTTGAAAAATGTATCATAGGACCTGAACACGTTGAAGGGGCTGCAATTGTGAGAGGCCTACAATTATGTCTCAACTTGGGGATTTCGAACTTACTGGTAGAGAGTGGTTGTATGTTTCTTGCATATGAAATTAACAAACCAGATTTAACCTCAGCATCAGTCCATCCTCTTGTAGCTGAAATAAAGGAGTTAATGCTACGATTCCCTCATTGTAGCATCTTTCATTGCAATCGAGTTACTAATCAAGCTGCTCACTACTTGACACGACATGCATGGTCCCTTCAAGATTTGGTACTTTGGTGGCATAGTGTCCATTTTTTCAGTGAAAATGTAATTTTCATTGATAAACACTATTAATCTTTCTTAAGGCTATTTGCCTTCATGAATGAAATACTTTTCCATCAAAAAAAAAAAAAAAGTTTATCACTGTACATAGACCCGTTGCTTCAGTTATTGAAATTTCCATTAATATACAGTTGGATTTGGCAAATTAAACTGTACCTGTCCCTAATGATTTTCTATCTAAGTTTCGTGACGAAATAAATATTGTTCAGAGCATGTGCTGAAAAGTGACAATTACTATGAATTTTTAATTTAAAAGATTTTTTCTTTTTTTTTTTTTCTCAATTTTTTGAGTCCATTATCCTAATTCTTTTAGTTTCTTGGCAGAGTAAAACTCTCCTCACCAACAAACTTATAAGAAAGGATCCTAACCAACGCACAAAATAATTGATAATCACATCTCATCACATCACCTCAAAGGAAAGGAAAGCAAACCAAACCAAGAATGGCTTCACAAACTTCAAATCCACACCCCATCAAAACTATAGTCGTATTAGTTCAAGAAAATCGTTCCTTTGATCACATGTTAGGCTGGTTGAAAACTCTGAACCCCGAAATCAATGGTGTAACAGGAGCTGAATCCAATCCTCTTTCCACTTCGGACCCGACCGCTAACAGGGTTTTCTTCGGCGACCGGTCTCTCTTTGTGGACCAGGACCCTGGCCATTCCATTCAAGCCATTTATGAACAAATATTTGGTGTTCCATGGAGCCAAGACTTGGCTACCGAGAAACTCCAGCCTACCATGGAAGGATTTGCACAGAATGCTGAAGGAATTCAAGAGGGCATGTCGGATACCGTCATGAATGGTTTCAAGCCGGAGGGCATCCCTGTTTACAAGGAGCTCGTGGCGGAATTTGCAGTGTGTGACCGGTGGTTCGCGGCTGTGCCGGCGTCCACGCAGCCTAATAGGCTCTTTGTGCATTCAGCCACTTCTCATGGTGCCACTAGTAATGACAGAGAGCTTTTAATTGAAGGGTATCCTCAGAAAACTATATTTGAATCCTTGGATGAGGCTGGTTTTGACTTTGGAATATACTACCAATATCCTCCAGCAACACTGTTCTACAGGTAATCCAGATTTTCACTTATATTTTTCATTTTTGAATTACATATAAATTGATTCATAGTTTTTTGGGGTTTATAAAAGATGTAAAAAAATTTCACGAATTTTACAAACTCAAGTTTGAAAGAGCATTTTCCTTAATTTTCCTATTTTTGCATAGCTAATTCCAAATTTCACAAGTCAGAAAATTATCTAATCTGTTGGATAGATGATATCGCATGACCATGAAGTGGGCGGTTACGTTGCTTTCCTAATTAAATCAACACGTCAACAAAATATTACGTAAATGTACCTCGAGACTCACAAAATAGGAAAAAACAAGAGACTTCTACGTAAATGTAAACTTGTAAGTACTGCACCAATTCAACGAATGAGAATATCTATAATTTTACTAATAATGGTTTACAGATTGATTTACAGAATGATAATGCTGATTATATTAACCGACTTTTTTTTTTTTCTCTCTCTCTCTCTCCTTTCCACATCAATACATCAATCTATAAATCATTATGTACAAATGACATTACTCTAATTTTACTATCTTCTAAATAAAGAAGTGAATAGATGAAACAAAAGAAATATGCTTCACTATGTTCGTTATTTTTCCAAATTTAAATTTAATGATATAGAAGTAATTGCTATGTTAACAAGACGCTTTAATTGCCATTTCATCGAATTTGACACTCGAAAAAAAAAAAAAATTCTATACCCTTACATTTATTTTCATATATGTTAGATACCTATGTATAATTTGTCAAAATGCCGCTCTTAAGTTCATAAATTGACCAACTCAAATGATAGTGGTTGAACGTCATAAAATAATGAATGTTAATTCGTTTTCATTGAAATGGTCAAATTTCGATTCTACCATTTCTTTTTAAACATATGTCCGATCTTTTAGCCCTGATCTACTGCTGATTGAAATATTATTCCAGGAACCTTAGAAAACTGAAGTACATAAAAAACTTCCACCAGTTTGATCTTAGTTTCAAAAGGCATTGTAAGGAGGGAAAGTTACCCAATTATGTGGTGGTTGAACAAAGATATTTCGACCTAAAAATACTTCCTGGAAATGATGATCATCCTTCCCATGACGTATTTGAAGGCCAAAAGTTTGTGAAAGAAGTTTATGAAGCATTGAGATCAAGTCCACAGTGGAATGAAATGTTGTTCATAATTTTATATGACGAACATGGTGGATTCTTCGACCACGTGCCAACTCCGGTGAATGGAGTTCCGAGTCCCGATGGCATAGTCGGCCCGGAGCCTTACAACTTTCAATTTGACAGGTTAGGCGTTAGAGTTCCGGCCATCATGATATCTCCTTGGATTGAAAAAGGAACTGGTAAGCCTTTTAATAGAAAATATTGCTATCATTTTGTTGTCATTGTGCATCTGTGTTACAACTTTGATAGTTCACTTAAAAAAAGATTTACTTTTGAAAAGTCAAGCAATGACTTTTTAACTTTTTAAGTCAAAATTTGTTGTCGTTAAAAGTGATATTTCTTGAAGTGTAACTAACAAATAAGTGATGATTCTGCAGTGTTACATGGGCCATCAGGACCATATCCTACGTCTGAATTTGAGCATTCCTCAATTCCTGCAACTGTTAAAAAAATATTCAATTTGAACGAGTTTTTAACAAAGCGCGACGCATGGGCGGGCACTTTCGATGGCGTGATTAGCCGAGAGAGCCCGAGAACTGATTGTCCCGGTAAGTTTATCTCATGCCATATCTTCATTTTCAATATGTTGATATTAATCGTTAAATAAGATTGACTGGATGTAACGTTGAGTGCAGAAACTTTGCCGGAGCCGGTGAAACTGCGAGAAGCAGAGGCTGAAGACGAGGCAAAATTAAGTGAGTTCCAAGAGGAGTTGGTGCAAATGGCTGCAGTGTTATGTGGAGACCATCGGAAGGAAAATTTCCCACACAGTTTGTTCGAAAACATGACTGTTGCAGGGGCAGTAGAGTATGTCGATAATTCATTCAAGAAATTCTTGGATGAATGTGAGAAAGCTAAGGAAAATGGGGAACAGGAATCCACCATTTGTATACCAATTGAATCCACTGATAGTGCTACACCAGTGGAGTCGAAATCATTTGTTTCCAAGTTCTTCTCTTGTCTAGTTTGTGATTGATGGGACCTTCAAATCGATGTAATAATTGGTTATTGGAAAAGTTATTGGTTTTAGTTTTCATTTCTTGTAAGAATGTGGTTTCAATTCTTTTTTTAATTATTAATGTATTTGAATCTTGAATAATAATTGATCGACAAGTTTAGTGTTTCTAGTTCTTCATCATATTACATACACATGACATGACATGACATGCCATGACATCAGTATTTTTATGCTTCTACACTGTCCATTCCATTGAAGTCAATTATTTATCATCCTTCCATTGACAAAATCAATTAAACCTTTGTTTTCAAAATTCATTTTCAACTTTATATTCTCTCATAAAATAATTTTATACGTAAATTTAATTATTTTTTCCCTATTCTTTAACTACACATTCTTTTTTAAAAAAATCACTATTTCTAAATATATTTGTCCTAAAATAATGGTTCAAATAGGGCTTAAAACTATTACACATCTCTCGATGTTAAATTTTAGGGAATATTGCAGGTGGAGTTCTCAAATTAATGCTTCAAAGTCCAGAACCACCTCGCAGCTGTGAAGAAACACTTGAGCCCACAATACTGCGCCGAAGTCCAGAACAACAGTTATTGGCCTGGTAATTTTGTGGAGGTTGTAAAATATATTGAATGAAACTCAATAAGATTCGATGTCTCTCAATGGGAGAGGTTTTTTCATTTTATAGAATCAAAATTACAATTAAATATGATAAAAACAATCTATCTATATATGGTACAACTATGAAAGTATTATAGACGTCAAGCTGTAATATTCGACGATCCCTGTAATCTTATTAAATCTTATTGACATCCCCTCAAATTGATGTTAGTAAAAGTATCAATTTACACTTATGAACTGACGATAGTGATGATATTCATGTCCACGAAGAGAGATCCAAAACAACAAACAGTACAGAAACAGCCAAGAACCACTCAAAGAATACTCCAAAGCCATTCCAGAGTGCTCACACCCCACGAAGAATTTCCAATAAAATTTCACGAAGTGTGCCGGCCACACATAGTAAGCTCTATCAGTCAGGAGAACTTAGTCAAACATATAATTCGTGTTCCGACAAAAGTTATAACGCAAATGCACCGACCAAAAATCCAATAATATATCGCTAGGTAAGATGTTGTAGTTGGAAGAAATTTTACGAAACAACCTACACCAAAAAAATAAAAATAATAAATAAAAACTAAAGATGATTCTCCTCTAAGAATCTAAAACTCTACCTCATCATTCGATCAACAAAAAAATTTAACGGTACGCACTCCCATCTCTCTCTCTCTCTTCTCCTCAACCAAAAAGGTGTTTTTTTTTTTCCAACAGCATCTTTGCAAACCCAAAATAACAAGCCCTAAATTCCTTAGGTTGCTAGGCAATTCCAGTTTATCACACCTTCATTCTAATTATTAAACCCAAACAAGCCATAGCCCTAGCCCCAGCCCCAGATCCAGATCCATTATCCTATCCACAACCCAATACCTACACAGCCTAAACGTTAACCTATAATTCACATCCAGAGCCCATCATATATCAACCCAAATTAGTTCAAAAAAATTAAAGCCAGTCCACTACCCAATAACAATCACGGCCCATTTTTTTTTTTTTCGTTCAAATGCTTTTTAGTATGAAATGTACTATATGGGTATGTTGGGTTTTCTTTGAATGAGTTTTTGGTGATCCAATTATGCAATTGTAACCTATTTTTGATTTATGTGTAACAAAAAAAATCCTGTGTAATCTTACTCCTGCAGTTAATATTTATTTGTGTATATGCTCTACAATGTCAAATATAGTGTATGGGTATGATGTGTATGGTAATGTGTAACCTCCTTTCGGTAGAATGTAACTTGATTTTGATATTTCGTGACTGAATTTTCCTATATCATAACCTGATTTTGGGAGTAGTGTGACTTAACATCAATAAATTTTGACATAATCTCTTACTGTGGTATGATGTTATTATTATTATTATTATTTTATTATTTTTATTTTTTTTTGAAATAATTCTGGTTAAATTTGTTTGGGTTTGAGCTTAATGAGTTTAGCACATGGAAGATGGTATCCATTTGATTGCACATGAAATTTGTTAAAATAGTGATAAGGGCTCTGTCATCTAATTTTTATTTATTTGTGACTTCAAGCTTGGTTTTGTGAGCATAGATTTACATTAAGATAAATGCAAGTCATAATTACACGACATTATAAATTTGCATGCCAAAACACGAGTGATTACATAGGCCACATTTTATTATTTATTATGTAGAAGATGTCACAATCACAAAAGAACATATAATAATTACATTTTTCTGTCTGTGATCAAGGTCACAGTCATATATTTAACAATAATTTAGGATTGGAAATATTTATAAACGCTCTTGGTTCCAAGGAAAATTACAAGCAACACTATAACAAATGTCATCAAGTACGCACAATACTTGTTAATGGTGTCAAACGGGTTGAGCAGGTCGGCTCGCCCGCTCGCCCACGTGCGAGCAGCTAGTGGCTTGCATGAACAGTGGCCGAAACGATCACTTTTTAAGTAATCGTTGCAAACGGTCACCGATCGTCATTGAACTATAAAAAGTGGCCGTTTTGGCCACTTTAAAACCGACACTTTATTTATTTATTTTTTACTCTATAAATAGTCTAATCTATTTTCAATTTTTTTCACACAACATCCCACCAACTCTCACTGTCTTCACATTCTATGATCTACTACATTTTCATTTCTACCTTCAATTTCAATTATTCAATATCAATTATCACACTATAAATTTAATAATACAATCTTACACATTAACTTTCTTTCAATTCTTACTTAATTACTCACTATACATTTCATCACAATTCACAAATAGATCCACACTCATTTTTTGAGGGCTTGTTCGATATCGAAGGCGAATCACTTATGACGCTGCAAGTCAATTTCAGAATGAATTTTTTGATCTGAACGAAGTACCCATTCCCGAAAATATTCCAGATTTGAATTCTCATGGATGTAGTAATCCAATTGATTTAAATAACGTTCAAGTTCAGGAAGCGAAACAGGATGAGGAACATGAATTAGATATTCCCGATGCAAGAGGGAAACGAAAGACAAAAAACAGACAAAATGTTGGGATCACTTTAAATTGATTTCAAAGGGTCGTGTGGTCGGTGGAGTCATAGAGTTTAAAATAGTATGTAAATACTGTCAACGACGATTGGTATGAGAAAAAGCCATTGATACCACCCACCTTAACTGTCACTACAAATAATGTGCGGCCAAACTTGGGCTTCTTGTTGCCGGTTAAACGCAACTACAATTTGGTATTTTAGGCCCCGGTTCTATTTCTTCACCACTTTCCACGTGGATATATTCGAAGTTAAATGCTCGAACGGGAATGGTGAAATTCGTTGCCGCTGCTGAGTTGCCTCTAGCAATAATGGACAACCAACATTTCCTCTAGTTCATGAAAGAAAATCTTCAATCAAGGTACATTAGGGTAAGTCGAAACAATCTTTGTTTAGATAAAATAGAATATTTCCTTCATACAAAAAAACAATTGATTACCGATTTACAAAAATATGGGAGTCTTATATCTTCAACTTCTGATATGGAAAGTGATTAATAAAAAAAAGTTATATAGATGTAACTACACACTACGTAGACCCAGTTTGGTGCTTGCATAAAAAAATTATTACTTTTAAAATTATTAAATTACCTCATAACACTAACAATATATACAATGCTATTATGAACAATATTAGATAATATCATTTCGAGAGTAAAATTCGTTCTTTTACATTCAACAATGCTAGTATTAAGAAGGCAATTATCAATAAATTGTGTAGGGTATTGCAGCCTGATTCGGTGGTTATTTGTTTCATATTTGTTGTGTATGCCATATTTTTAATTTAATTGTGTACGATGGTTTAAAACATGTTAAGAATGAAATTCAAATAATTAAGAACTCGCTAGTATATATCACGATTTCACCTAGTAGAAAACAAGCATTTGAAGAATTTTGTGCTGAATTTGGGGTGACGAATACGAAAATATTTGTTAGTGATGTAGGACATGGATGAAACTCCATTTAGTTATTATTAAAATCATGCGAAGGTTTTGAACATTTAATAACTGAATTATATAATATTAGATATATTAGAAACGATGATGAAACTATTTTGAATGAATTCGATTGGCTTTTAGCTTTAAAATTAAAACAATTTCAAATTTTTTTATGACTCTACAGATATTTTATCTAGAGTTTACTATCTCACTAACTATATGGTTCTTGAATGTCTTTATAAAATTGTAAGAGCTTTTCATAAAAAAAAAAAAAAAATGATCCCGATTTTAGTGCAGTCATCTATTCTATGAAATTAAAGTTTAGAAAATATTGAGAAGACTTGCCTATGTTATTTCCTTTAACACGCATCATGAACCTTCGATACAATTTATCAGATATTAAATATGTAATTGATCAGACTTCAAGAATTTTAACTTTTAATACACTTATCACTTAAAGAAATTAAGAACAAAATTTATGTGAAATGTAAGAATTATATGCAGAACGAATGTGTGCAAATATTAGTCGAGTACCCTTTGCACCTACTCCTCTCGCTAATATTGAAGAAGACGACACTTAAATATTAACTTTATTCGAAGGCATTAATACGTATAGATATGATGCAAATGCAATAGGTTCTTCTAGTAGTAGTTTGTCTACCGCATCTAATCAAACATCGGACGCAAGTCCAAATCATTACCTGCTGAATTAATTGATTACTTTAATCATAATATGCCTAATAACAAAACAATTAAAAAAAGATCAAAAGAAGTGATTGAATTTTGACGAAAGTACGAACGACAATGATCAGTGGTTTCTGCGATTGCAAAAGACCTACTAACACTTCTAGTTAATACTGTAGTTTCGGAGTCTGCTTCTAGTGTATGTAAGAGGGTTTTGTCCGAGGATAGGAGCCAACTGAAATAAGATATTTTGAAAACA